ACAAGTTTTTCGATTTTTATAACGGACACAAAAAAAAAAATGTTGTTGAAGACCGTTCAAGTGGAAACAATGATGTTAAGTAAAGTTGGAGCTGGGACAGTGAAGCTGCAGAAATGTCGTTCAATTAATTGAATGAAATTCCAAATAAATGAGATGATGTACACATACCGACATATGTACATTACATACAACACAAATACATATACATATTTATGTACGCAAAAAAAGTGGCTTTATGCACCTGCTGATTGGCTAACTAGGCATTGCAACTAATTTGGCTTATTTCTAATCACCAGTTGACACCGGCAATACACTACGCCGGACGCTTATTCAATTTAGCAAGCGTTTAATTTAGTAGCACTAAAAGTTTAGATAAACTTAAGAAAAAAGCAAAACTTAAATAAAATCTGGAAAGAAAAAGAAAGTTAACGCCGCTAGTCTTCTACCAGCAAATCTTACGTACTGATCACTGTGCTATATTAGAAGTATATACACACGTACTTATGTATGTAGGTATGTATGTGCATATTTGCATTATTAAAATTTGTATTTTTAGCTCACAGCTGCGGATGTGTGGCTTTTAAATCTTTGCACAGTTGGTGATTTGTCTATGAAAATGATCAAATTCTCAAATTGCCCGATCTGCAGCTGAGCAATTGGAATGAAGCAGGAAGTTGAGCCAATTTCTTTTACTACATACATGCCTTTCATTTTTCTTTCATTTCTTGGACACATGCACGCATTTGTATGCTGGTACCTGCGAACAAACTCTTTTGAATTTTATCATTATTTAATAACATTGATCGAATTAGGAAAGCAAAGCAGTAAGTGCCGCAAAATTACTAACATCAACAAAAAAAATACATTTCGATGCCTCTTCCTCTATAATAAAAGACTTATATTCGACTATATTCATCAATTTCGTACATCATACGCGTGTAGATTTGTTTGAAACTATAAAATGAAGCTCAATATAGAAAAAAATTTAATCACAACTTATAATCTCGCATTGTGGAGCAAATATGCAAATATTCCGCCAAAAACTATTTTTTTACAATCGCTATTGTACATTCAGAAAACAGAATGCTAGGAAAAAAGTTTATTATTTTAAGGAAATATTACCTTGAAATGGCTCCAATGACACGGCTGCCTTAATATGAGTAAACGATTTGACTCAGTTTGAGTAAAACACAATTCCTTAGTTTTTAGGAAAAATTTCCTTGCCATTTTATCCTCCGTGAAAGGAATAAGTATGTCATGTTACCATCGAGTCCGAGAGCATGATTTTTTTTCTTTATTTTTTATTTATTAATTTTTATTGTAAATTTTAAATTGTATTTAAAACAAAATGTATCTAATTTATTTCTTATGGTATTCGAGTATTTAGGTTTTTCCATATATGAAATTAATTTAACAATGTGGAGTTTATATTTAAATTGAAATAATTGACTTACCTTACTCTAACCACCTACAACCGGACTCGAACCTGCGATCTCAGAACCAGAAGCAGTAGTCTTCACGCGACACCACGGCCGACATTACTACAGTACTGAGAAAATTAAAAATTATTTAAGGAACCTATTACTTATATTGAGGAAATTATTACTTATATATTGAGAAAATTTACTTCCTCAAACTAATTACGCCCTATTTTTAGCAGGAACCTGATTTAAGGAAAAACTTCTTAAATTGAGTAAATTTTTCGTAATATTAAGGAAAAAAGCAGTAATTCTAAAATAAGCATACTGTTTTCTTGTTTTAAGGAAATGTTTTTTTCTGAGTGTAGTCGTTATACCGATCTTTTTAATATGTCAAGAACTTTTTTTTGTTCTTGGATGCCTTCTAAATTTAACATTAAAGTACATTAAACTCCCAAATGTATGTATTGAGTATACTTTAAAGTAGAGATATTGTGGAATTACTACGGCAAACAGGCCTTTCTGAGCTTGCCTCTTCCATTATATTCATGAGCGTCCTTACTTCCGTTGTCCTCCACTGGATGCCAAGTCAAATTTAGCACACTCATTGACTTTCCAAGCGTTTGAAATTCTGGCACTCTAAACGCTTACGCAAGGAGCTCCATACATATTGTATAAAGCTTTCCCAAAAGCTACAAAGCACTGCTCATCTTTATTTTGGAAATTGGGATCAAGCAAAGAAGATCGTGTATTTGAGTCATATACATACTATATACATATGCACATAAATAAAAGAGCTAACAGCGCTGCAGGGGTATTCTTGCTAATATTTTTCCTACTTAATTTTTGTAGTCTACAAGTACTTTGATTTGTCCTCATTTTGCACGGGGAAATGAGGAAGCGGTCAAGTGTGCTGGGAAGCGATCTGAGATAGGATTAGGTGAAAAAGCGGTCCAAATAGTTAAATCTCCCCCTGCCAATCCCGTCTTCAGAAGTTTAAAAAGTGACCAGGGTAGCCACCAACAGCAGACCGAAAAATCTGCACACCTTAGCGGATCATGCTCGCGCTGGTCATGGCTGGAAGCCAAACGTTGCGCTTCTCCTTGGAATAGTAACGGAACACTAGGTCATAGGTCCCATATGCACCGTGTTCGGAGCGCCGTATAAGAATTTCTGCCGAAGATATAGAGATGAAGAAGAGATATAATCCGTCCTTTACGAGTGCCCTGTACTCCGGAGAAAATGCCGCATATTTGACTGTTGCTGTCGAATGAATGCCACACGTAGACCGCATACTGCATAGACCGTGTTTTCAAAAATGTTTATAAGTCTCAAATTCCACCTAACCTACCTGAGACGATGTTGATGAAGATTTCCTCCGCTTTGGCAAACTGCATTAAACCCTTTGGTCCTTTTTCGATTGTCGTTCGTCGACTCTGTGATTGAACTTCTGCATAGTGGAAGAACTTTCTAGTCTTATGCCTCAGAGCTTGGGTTCCGCGGAACCCAAGGGTTCCGTAGGAAAGTCACCCAAGGGTTCCGTAGAAATCGCTAAATCCCATGTAACTGACGGTTTCGTAGAGGTTGTAGATGAGTTAGTTTGAGCCACTTTATCTGCGAAGCCTCCTGTTATGCTTCCTAACTAGGCGCATTTGGACCTCGCTGTGAAACTGATGTTCAGACGACACTGCTTCCTACTAGTTCCTGATGACCACATAGCCGCAGCATGCACTGAGAAGTGTAAGTTTAGATACATAAGCAGAGCTAGCCGCAAAAAAGGATGCTTCTGATTGGTTTCCCTCTAGTGTAATACCTTTTAGGGCGGTGCATATTCATTATGATAGCCATGCCGGTTCGTTCGAGAATGGTGACAGATTGTTTGACTTCGTCATCGACTGCATCGTATTACTTCGCTATTAAGCTTATTTGGGTTCTGGTTCTCAGCGAAATCGCTGGACTCTGCATGACCGATGAACAGGCAAAATAGAGAACCCTTCTTGAGAAAGTGCTTGCGGAGTCCTTCTCGCTAATTTCTTGTGGTCTGCTTCTGCGGTTAGTCAGCTCAGTGAGCGCTGGGCGAAGAACTTGGAATGCAAGCTGGTTAAATCCTTCTGGCCACGAGTAGAGCAGCGGCGCGCGTCCGGGGAACTCTTGAGACTCGGCAAGTTGCACCTCTCGCTATTAGTGGAAGTTCTAACTGGTCATTGTATTCAGCATTACCATCGATGATTCTTATTGCATCAGCTGCGTGGGGGACGATGAAGTGGCATCAAAGCCAGCCGCTCTATCGCCCTGTCTTTGTGAGCCTAATCTCTAAGCACGTTAGATCACACAGCCCGCTAACCTTTCCTAACTAAATAAGTTCTTTTATTAGCGTACTTTAGAACCAGTTGGCCTATTGTCCTGCGCTGCCGGTGCGCGATTTGAAGACCTTGATGTAGCTCTGTACTTTACCTGCAGTTGCGATTGTGTGCGCCTAGACGAAGTGCAAGCTGTCAAAAGTAGCCTCTAAAATTTTCGCATTATTTACGATCGTTGCGGCCAGTGACTTCATTAGAGAAAGTCTTAAGTTTCGTGCAGTGCTAAATCTGAAAAGGTCTGAGAGATAACCAACGACGCCAAAATAGAAGTCGTAAGCGTAAGAGATCAAGGTACTGCCCTCAGGTGGAGGAGTGAGGTGCTTTTAATTCCTTCGTCTTCTATTTTTTGCACACTGTGCTAACATCACTTCAAGATTGCTCATACATACGTTTGCATACTTACATTTGTATGTATGTATGTAAATATGAAAACTGTGGCACGGTAGCCCCAACGCGCTCAGCCACAACCGAAACTTTTGTTGCTGACAACACAAATTCATACAAAGTTACATACCTACATATGAATGTATGTAATTAAAATACCTAAATGAAGACACCTGTGTATGTATGTATTTATATAGATATACACATATATTTACACTCGTATTTACGTACAAAGCCAATAGCATCAAACGAAAGCCTATACTTTTCCAGAGTGGCTCGTGCTTACCAAGTTTACCACAATTCAATGCAATGCGAGAAGCCACAAAACTTGCAATGGTATACATAGATGTTTGAGAAAAGAAATGCAACAAAGGAATACGTAGAATAGAAAGAGCAGTAACCAGTTTTCGTAAAAGTAGCAGCGAGCCAAACCAACCTAGACACTGGAACATCGACACTCAGCGCATGCGCGACGATTAAGCAAAGTTTTAAATGTGATTTCAACGCGCTGGTGAACAGACGAAAAACGCGGAGATGCTTAATACGACAAAAAGGATTTAACAGTGAATACATTACGTTGGAAAAAAGAAAAGCAATGATTAACATAGTGATTGTGCTAAAAGACAACAGATTGGAGTATAATTATAGCGTGGAAAAGAATTTATTAGCAAGTGTGAAGGCGTGAAATATGCAATTTGTGGTTTAAATTGGATATAATAATGAAGCACAGTGTGCAAATAAATGGATTCAATAGTTAAAAATGCATATGTCGATTTGATTGAAAAATAATTAAAAAATTGAAAATTACAAATTTTATTAAATCGAGATTTCAATAAGTTTAAGTAAAAATAAATAAACAAAAATATTTGCAAACAAAGCACACAAACTAGAAAATATGAAAATATTAAAAGTGAATTTAACGGTGCTCGTGTTGGCACCTTTTTTGCTATGTGGCTTTGTGCATTGTGAAAATGACTTCGAACGCACAGAAACACCAACGAAAACTCCCACCTCAACAACTCAAGCGCCAGCGGTTGGCGAAACCACCACTGCCGCCGCCGCCGCGCCAGTTGTAGGCGATAGCACTCGATATGCGCGTCTCTTGAAGGTCCTGCGGGACCCCAAGGCGTTTGCCGCTCAGCGCTACCATGCCGCAACGCAACGCGTAATCGCGCGCGCGGACCACCAACCACCAGCAGGCCTCCCCTACCGTCGCGCTTTACAGCCGCATGTCGCCGCGGCGGCGCCACCTTCTGCTTACCACAAGATGCGCCCGCCAATTATGCGTCGCGTCCAAAATGGACTACCCGTAAATGGCGCGCCACCGCGTTTTGCCTACGATACGCCCAAAGGCGGCCAAAACCATTTGCCTTCTAAGAGTTTAGTGCCATTCAATGCAGGCAAAGTGAGCGTTTATCGCCCGCCATTCACGTACGCGCAACAGCAAACGCATCCAAACTCCTTAGTGCTACAGTCCGCTGCGACTGTTCAAGCTACTAAGCATCAGCTACAGCAGCCACAGCCACACTTTGGGGAATATAATTTCCAAGCATCGCCACCGTTCAGTGGCAAGGCGATTGTGCGCCCGCTACTCGAGCCGCACGATCCAAACTACAGGCAACATTTGCAGCAGCTACAGCAGTATGCAGGCAAACCACAGCAAATGGTGCAACAATATCCCATACCACAACAACAGCAACACCAGCAGCAGCAGCAACAGCAACAACAGAGCACTTCACATTTCCCTACACTCTACCAGTCTGCGCTGAAACAAACTGCCAACCGCGCGCCAACATTTCACTACGAAACGATGCGCCCGCACGAGGAACCCGTCCTCCATCCACATGTAAAGCATGAGCAACCGCCGCCAGGTAGCGCCGGATATGCGGTGTACGAACACAACGATTTGGCTGAAGAGGAGCAAGCGTACGCGCATCCACACGCGAACTATCCGCCTACCGCGCGTACAGAGGAAATATCACAACAGTATCAAAGATTACAACAGCAGAGTCAACGCGCAACTCCTGACACCACTGCAAGCGAACAACAAGCTGAGGAATACATAAAATTCATGAACTCCAATGATTATTTTCTACCAAAACGTGAACCCAACTATAGGCAGCGGGATACTCAGCAGGATAGCCAGCAGAATAGCCAGCAGTTGCAACTACAGCAGCACAAGCAGCAACGGGCGCGTGAGCAACAACAACAGCAACAAACAACGCACAACCACTACCCGCACACGCAGTCACAGGCGCAAGCACAGCAGCAACATTCGCAGCATATACAATACAGTAAAGCTTCAGTGAGTGATAGCGCTAGCTTCAGTTCAGCCACAGCCAGCGCTGCGGATGCCGCTACTAATTACTTAAATCAGCCCATACAAGTATCGCAGCTTTTCTACCAGGAAGACCCCGTGCCCAGTATCGTACGCGGCAGCTATCAGGCGGGCAACAATCTGTTCGTTGTTAAATCAGATGGCAATAAAGCTGTAAAGCATGTAGTGCCTTCACCCTCTACACGAGCGCCCACTACACAGGCGCCGGCCTACGCGAAGGTGCGCTACAACTCGCAGCAAAGCCGCACGCCAGAACCGCAACGTTTCGAATTCACAGAGCGCGACGCTGTGCACTCAGCGTACACTAATTCACCGCCATCATTTGGCAGCGGTCACGAACACTTGCACTACAGAACTGCAAGTGAATTCAGCACCTCCACAACACCAGATTTGTCTGCTTCAAGTAACAATAACTTTGGTACAGCCACAATGCCTTCCGCTGATGATCCGGAGGACGATGAGGATGTACAGAGCGCCAGTTCGGTGAGTACTTGC